AGAAATCACCTAATAATTTTTTATCTTCTGCAAACCAATATCAAATACGGGATAGTTAAATAAAATTATTTTATGTGATTTTGAGAACTTCATTTTCATGACCTTGTGACTCATCATCCTCTTGAAGTAGGAGTAAGATTTTAAATTAGTAAATGTAACTTAACAAATATGTGTAGAAGAGCTCCCTGGATGAACTTGTAACTTTAAAGCCTAGTAACTATAGTTTGCCTAATTATCATTCGTATCTATACTATTCAATTGTTACTAACTTGTATCACTTGTATTCAAACGTGTAACGAATACAATTATGTCAAGAATACAATATGTATCAACTATAACTAATGCGAAATACAAGGGTGTATACAATGGATACAATATGTATCGACTGTATACAAGGGTGTATACAAAGGATACAACATGTATCGACTGTATTTGTTCGCACGAATACAACTAAGGTGAAATACAGAAAATACAAAAAAATAAAATGTTCTTGTTAATAGTCGAACTAAAGACCTTCGCTAACTAAATACGCGCTCTAACCAACTGAGCTATAAAAGCTTGTTGCTCTCTTGTTTCAGTTCAAAACAATTAATCTTTTATTTTATGGATTTGCTATAAAATTCAAATATAGCTATGACTGATAATTTTGCTGAAAATATAGCTACAAATAGTAAATAAAGTGTAAATGTTTGATGTGTCGATTAATTTTACCTAATATAATTCATGTGACCAAAAGCCCACACTTGTGAAATGAATATGCATGCTTTGAGCTAGATCCCTTTTTTATTGGTTATATATATGCTTGCTTGGCAATATTGCAAAGGCCAACTTAACTGAAAGAATAGTTGCTTGGCAATATTGCAAATACCTAATATAATCTGAGACGGATTTTTAGTTGCACGCCCAACTTTTGCGGGATCCTATTACCCCTTAACTATTTTGACGTGAACGCATTACCAATGAGACATGTGATAACCAAATTTGTAGAAAAACGGTGATATACGGCATCATCACCTACGGGTGTAATTATTTGATTTCAAAAAAGTCCAAGAGGTGTATAGGAAAGCTTGGGTATGTAACCGAAGTTCGACATAAGTTTGAGGGGTATTTATGCTCTTTCCCAAAAAAAAGAGAAAAATATATTTTTAGCCGCTCCTAAAAATGTATATCTTATGTATATATATTAATTATATACAAAACTATACATATTTTATATACATTTTGTCTACCGAATGCAATTAATTTGGGCCGATTGACCAATTTTGTATTTTGCACAAATAAAAACTTGTAAAAATTGCATGGGGCACCCTATTTAGTCGCTCATTTTTAACTTGTACCCGTTTTATTTTTTCATTTGCATCCGTACCTGTTTTTTGTTAAAAGCGTTTTAAAAAGACGAGTTTGCCCTTCTTTAATAAAAGACTACTTTCTCTCCAAGTATACGACATATTGTCTCTTATCTCTGTCTCTCTATCCTTCTTCGCGGTTTTTGATTATTTTCTGAAATCAAATGGTTTTCGCCATTGCATTTTGCTTGATTAGCAACTGTTTATTCTCCAACAAAATTAAGTATAATCACATGTACGATTTTAATGGTTGTTTTTGTGCATTGCATTAACTTTGTAAGAGGTTTTAATTTAGGATTAGTTCTATGATTTAATTTCTTATTTTTTGTTAATAGTAATCTTAGTTGAATCGTTTTTCTTTTTTTATTTGTGCTAAAATAGTTTCCTAGGTTTTGCTTTGATTAGTGCATTAGTTTTGTAGGTTTTACTTTTACGATTAGTGCTTTTAGGCTTTTTGAAACTGTGTTTGTGATGAAAATTCTATATATTCTTCAGTAATTGCTAGAGATGTTGAAATTTTTAAAAAGTTTGAGACTCAAATAGATGATTCTATTAAAGTGTGAAGTTTATAATACTTCAAGGATAACTTAATTCTAGGAGCTAAAGTTTTGTTTTGTGATTTGTAAAACTAAAGTATGTTTTGTCTGCAGTTTTTATTTTATTTTTGATGAACTTCAGCATTATTGGAGTTGAAATTGTGTTCTGTATTTGTAAAGCTACAACATATTTTGGCTGAAGTTTTTGTTCTGTAATTGCTGAACTTCAGTATTCTTAGAGCTGAAATTTTGTTCTGTATTTGCTGAACTTCAGTATTCTTAGAGCTGAAGTTTTGTATTGTATTTCTCTGAAGTTAGAAGGCTTTAAAATATAATTTAAACCAAATTGTGCTGAAGTTTTTAATGATTATTTTGATAATGTTCTGAAGTTATTTTTTCCACCTATAAGTTTTTGAACATATGGCATCTAGGAAATCCAAAGCACCTAAAATACGTAATGCTCCTTCAGTCCCTTTTGCTCTACATACAAAACCAGGGGAGAGATATTATGAGTTCGAAGATTGGTTTAACTGTTCTTCTTACTGGAAGGGGAACCACGATTTGAAGGGTTTAATTGCATCTTTTTTGACTCCTGCACAACAGGAGAAGCTGAATAATGGTACATTTCGGTATATCATGGCTATGGAGAATTTTCGTTGCAGCATGAAGTTGGTTCATTGTTTGATTCTTTCTCGCGTATTCACCAATGATCGAGATCCATTAGTTTCAAGATTTTTGGTCGTGATGTGTCGTTCAGCCTTGAAGACTTTCACATTATGTGCGGTTTGAGGATCACATCACATAATGTTGAAAAACCAATTAAACTAGAGAGTAAGATTCTTAAGCGCTATTTTGGGAAGTCTAAGGGTGTAACCTTGAAGGACATTCAAGAGTATATGATACGAAATCAAATTAAAAAGGAAGATGTGAATTTCAAACACGTATGTGAGAGTGATGAAGATGCTGTGAAGCTTATGAAAATTCTTACTGTGGAGTCTATTTTGTTCGGAAGAAAGTATGAATTAACTGTGTTGGAGGAGTATGCAGCTATTGTTGAAGACAATGAGGCTTGTCTTAATTATCCTTGGGGTAATGCGTCTTATGAGAAGTTTATTACCTCAATGAAACATGCTTTGGACAACAAAGACAAAAATAATACAACTCAATATAATGTAAGCGAATTTTCATATCCATTATGTGTTTGGTTCTATGAGTGCTTCCAAGATATTGGGGACAAGTATTTAAAAGATGACGACTACTTTGATTTCCCTCAGGTTCCCAGGATGTTACATTATCCATCTTGGGGAGAGCCTAAATTTAAAGAACTTCATGCGGATTACTTCAGTAATCATGGTGTAAGTTAATGTTATTTATTTTTTATTTTTTCTGTAGTTTTGTTAATATATTGACATATCAATTTTATTTTATTTTTTCTAATATACTTTTTTGTATTAAACAGAAATATCGGACATTTAGGGTATTGGAGATAATTTCTACCGAAGAGGAATTGAATTCAATGCCTTTAATTGGACAATTACCATGCAGTCGCAGCCGTTTGAAGTTAATGAATCTGGTTCCTTCAACTGGTGAATCACCACGTAGTCGGAGTCGATCAAAAAAAACCAATCGAACTCCTGTAATTGGAGAATCACCTCATACCCAGAGTTGTTTTAAATGTTCTACAACGGTGTTTGATGATAAATTAGTTAACACAATATATCATGTAAGTTTTTTTTTTGTGTATTTAATCTGAAGTTTTTCATACTATTTTTTTGCTTAATTATAGGATGTTTTATGTAATGTTTTCGTTTTGTATTTTACTGAACTTCAGCATTGTTTTTTGAGCTGAAATTTTTGTTTTGTGTTTATAAAACTATAGCATGTTTTGTTTGAGGTTTTTGTTCTGTTTGTGCTGAATTTCATCATTCTAGGAGCTGAAATTTTGTTCTGTATTTGTAAAACTACAACATGTTTTGGCTGAAGTTTTTGTTCTGTATTTGCGAAACTTCAGTATTCTTAGAGCTGCAGTTTTGTTCTGTGTTTCTATTTTCTGAAATTATTGTGTTGTTTCTATTTCTATACTATAGGGTAACGGGGGAGGTTAAAAAACATGCAATAGAAGAAAGTCACATGATCGCAAAAGAAGTTCTTCAAGAGTTTCGACGGGATGAGCAATATGTTATTGCGGACGAGGTTGTGAAAAAAAGTAAAGGTAGGCTTATTTACAGAGAAATCTTTTTTCCTGCTCATGTTATTCTTTTATTCAGAATAATCATTGTTAGTAATTTTTTATAGGAATATTTGATAAGAAGTTTGAAAAGTTGTTTGAGATTGTCGACAAGCCAAAAGGAAGAGATGATGGCGATGTAGATTTTGAATTCATGAACTATCAACAATATGATAGGATAAACGACTCCTTCGAAGCTCAATCTGATATTAATGCTGGTCATGATGGACTGCATAAAGTCGCAGATGAAAATGTAAGAGGTGAGCAAGCAACTGTTGAAGGCGGAGTTCAAGTATTCGAGCAAGTTCAATGTGTTGAACGGCAAGTTGAAGCGGAATGTTCTAGTGTTGATAGACTGAGCAAAGTTGCTGGATATGACGAACAATTATCAATCGAGAATGTAGGAAGCAAGAAAGGTGCAGATGATGAAGTTTTCGATACCGAAGAACATGTACCGAGTTGTGATTTGGGTACTCCTATTGCAAAAGGCAATATGTTTGCGGATGCAGATGATGAACTTGTTGGTAATGAAGAACACACACCGGGTGATGTGTGTACTCCTATTGGGAAAGGCAATGCGATTGCGAAAGCATTAGCTATTTGCCAAGATATTTTAGGTGCAGAGACACATGAAGTTGTCACTACAAGTATAAATATTTTCTATATATATATATTACATTTCGCGTTTCGTACGTTAAAATTTCGTCATAAGTTAATCGACGTAGTCTCGGGAAGGAGATTATTTTTTGAGATTATAAGTATTTATGCTATTTATAACATGTGATAAGTAAGTGCCGTGAAGGTTAGAGGGTAAACAGATCAAAGAAAATAAATTTCGTTGAAGGTTGTCAATTTGAAGGGTAAACAAATCAAAGAAAACAAATCAGAAAATATAGAACTCATCCAAAGATCAAACATATATATAGATTGGTACAATCTCTCATATTCTATATTTCTCATACAATTTGGCTACAGTAAAAAAAAAGAAAAAAGAAAGTGTTTTCAGCATCTAACTTGCTTCAGTACCTAGCTAAAGCAAAGAAAAAAGCAATCTCAGATTTAGCAATCATGGTAGCTTAAACAGAATCCAATCTTTAGCTCGGGAAACTTGATGCAAGTTCCATGAGTCCTATTGTGTGATTTATTGCATGCAATGTCCCAGGAAATCTTTATGCATCTCCCGCCAAGTGATAGGTTTCTTGGATTCTCCCACTTGAATCTCTCCAAATTCATATAATAATCAATTTTAATAATTAAAAATTGAGCATCGACTATTCTTAATTAAAGAAATGAGCACTTGACAATACAAATCAAAACCCAAATCACTGGCATAACATGATTTTAGGTGTAAAATGAACATTCTTTATAATACCTATTGCACAACTATTAATTGTTGTTGGCGCTATCTCTAAGGCATAGGGAAGGTTTTCCTAATAGAGATTTCATCAGATGCTGTACGATCAACATTGGCAATCCCATATTTTACAAACAGATTTAGAAGGATAACTGGATTATATTTACATCATAGGATGGGCTAATATACTTCATTTCTGGTGCGGCATATAAAAACATAAGGTTTACCAACTATATTCAGTTTTCAGCACATGTTTATGTAGAGTTAAATTTTCTTTTCCAATAATTATATTCTTATAAATTATCTTAAAATTCTCCACTTCGATACCACCTATTTGTGATGCATCATCATTCCTCATGTTCTTTTAACAAATTTGAAATTAAACTACTTCTTATCTAATGTCCATTTATTAAGGCTTAGGGAGCTCGTAAGCTCTTTCTTCATTTCAAAAGTACCATATAAGCTGTCAAGTATCATATTTTCCCCAACAGACCAAAGCAATAAATTTCAAACTTGAAGGCATCTAGCAAATAATTAACACAAACATACTCTAGATCGTTACTTCAAAAATGTAGCAGTATCGCTTTTTCTTTGAAAAGATAAGTAACAACTTAGCAGTAATGTACCAGTATCTTCGAAACAGTCAAAGTAGAGTGGAAAGGATATGAGTAGAGAGCTATCAAATTTGATAAATAGCCATATGTCCATGAAAGATGGTCAACTCCTAAAGCTATACCATAATACTGCATCTCAAAATGTTCAAGAAAAATTGAGCAGTGGTATATCGGGTTCTCTTCCTCTGGAAGGGAGAGGGGGGCTAGAATTTATTGTACTGGTTTGTGCTCAGAAAAGAAAATCATGTAACACATCGGCCCTAAATCCTATGATCTCACTCTACTCTCCTCACTCACCCCACTACGTGAAAACTATTGTGGAAAATCCTGAAAGACCAAGCGGAGATGTATAAGCTATATAATTCTAAAACAGATAGAACAGATAAATTCCTTCGTCATACTTGAAAGTTAATGTCTATAAGCCAAAGAAACTACTACTGCCTATAGGATTGACAATGCATATTTACATCCATATTATATTTCAGATGTAAAAGCACCTGACCATCTTTCGCTGTCGTCATCAAAATGGCTTTTCATTATGCTTTTGTACATACACTCTTTATTATATGAGTAACCAAGGACTTATATGTCTGACAAATTGAAATACTTGCGTTCTTTATTTTCTTTTGGACTTCTCCACTATCTGCATTTTCCTCCATTACGTCCAAATCAACAACGATATGTATAATACTTATAGTCGCTTACCCTGTTTGTGAGAGATTAAATTGTTGTGCACTCTTCCCTCCAATAAAAACGTAATTTTAACAGATGAAACATGAACATTGCATTTCATTTGTGAAAGGGTTCAAGATTGTTTCTAGAAGCATGAACATTATATTTTACAAACCATAACTCAAAAAAGGATAAAGAGAACTAACCACATCTCCATAAGAAATATAAATTGTCATTGTTTCTGATTCCCTTAACCTAAAAAATAACAGTAGCACATATGATCACATGAGAAAAAGTTGATAACAAGGAAATAAGAACTAAACAGCAAAAAATACATGGAGACATGATATTTTACTTCAAAAAAAAAATTGAAACATTAAAAACTAAGAGTTGAAGTTTATAGATTAACATTAAACACTTGGTGTATCCCCCTCGTATTTGTTTAAATGTTCATGCTTTTATCCTTCTTCTCTTCTTTCTGTTATTATGTTTCTGCCATCTTATAGCTCCTTAATCGTTCCTTCACTCTCAGCCTCAGCTTCGAAGACATAACATATGAGTACCTATATAATTACTTTAAAAACTAAAAGCTTTTAATCAATGGCCTACCAAAAGCAACAATATCTTGTACCAGTTCCTTTGGCTGAAGAATCTTGTGCATGAATGGCAGCCTGCTACTGGAAAACCAACTTTTTTGTTGTGCACATGACCTACATTTCTAGCTTTAATTGACTATTAGCATTATATAAAGCTTCTTCTGAAGGCATCAACCAACAAAGTAGAAGGATCAGACCCATGGGTTGTTATCTTCAACAAATTAAACAAAATATAACAACGAATGAAAATAAAATACAACAATTATATATGACATTTATATACAGGAAAAAAGCACTTAAATCAATTACAATCTCTGAACAACATTAGACTTGCATATTTTTCAGTTCAATTATCAAGATTCAAATTGGTTTCTGCACCATCCGCACACGCAAAATTATCTAATAATTTCTGCTCAATGGTTCATCTAAGTGTCAGAAATCATTACCTCCTAAATGAACATATGAACTCCAACTGGAGATTAGATCCTTTCAAGACAAGTGCAAGTCGAGGTTTAATCTTCTATGAGAGTTTTTGTTTAATATGTATTTATTGTAATTTGTTTGTTCTTATTGATAGTCGTAGTTTCAATTTTTTTCAGTAATTCTATTCTATTTTCCCAAAGAGGTACTCTGTGTTTGTTTTCAAGAGGTAAGTATTTGAGTTTCTTGGTGAGTATTATATTTTTCGATTTCTTTCCCTGATTGTGAGGTTTAGAATCACAGCAAATCAGTCAATGCTTTAATTGAATATTTGTTTTGTTTCTGTGTATGGTGAAGTTTACATTTTACAGGATGTTCTATATCCTTGATATCTTTGATGCTTTATCTTGGTTGGTATCTGTATGAAATTTGTATTGCGCTACTTCCTAAGGAGAAAACCTTAAAATTGTAAGTTTTGTGCCGCATCTAGTTATAAATACCATAAAAGTGCAGACCTTGAGCTCCAGAATTGGAGTTTCAGCAACCCCCCTTCCTATTCTATTCCTGACTTTGGCATTAGCTGAATTATTCAGTTTGATGCTTTGCTATAATCTTGTTGTGTTGCACAGCATAACTACAACTTTAATTTCTGAAAATATCAGTTCATACAATTAGTTGTGTCTATCCTTGAATTTGTAATAGTAATTTGTCCTGAATTCAATTACATGTTAATCAAAAGAGGCATACTAAGGTAACATTTAGAAGGATCTTATCATTTAATCTATCATCATAGATATTAATCATATTTCATGTCATGTGATGTATAGAGCATTATATAATGATTTCCACAATAGAATTTACCAATGTCTTCTTTTTGGCAGTGTCTTTGCACTACAATTGATTCACTAAACCTATAAACTCTTACATTTTTAGTAAGAACATAGCCAGCTAAATCAGCAACCATGTTATGATGAAATGGAATCATGGCACTGATCAAACCTCTTCTTTTGAAGCCACTTTAGGCAAAAGAGGGACTTACCTCATTTACCAGGAGCACTTTTGCAGCATCCTTGACTTCAATACCTTGCTGCTTTAACAATTCTGCAACGATACCACAAGGAAAAAATTAAAACAACTTAAAATAAAAACACAATAACTCTTCGCAGGTTGTGTCGCAAGCATATACCAAAGAGAACAGAGGGCACCCAATGATGTAGGTGTTTTGATTTTTTATTCCTAATTAGATTTTGTATTTTGCTTAAATTTTTTATAGCATTTCACCCTCAATAGGCACTCCAAAAAACCCATTTACCCTACAACATACTATTTTATCCAACCAAAATCAGAAAGATGCACCTACCTATCTATTCCTAAGCAATATACAACACAAATGAGAGACAACAATTGACATGCATGAAAAATCCAGTAAGAAAATAACCAATGGAATATGAAAACTAAATGGAATAAAACTAACCAGAACTTAGAATACCCCACTTACAAATTGGAATCAAAATAAAATTCTTTTGAAACTAACCCAGAAGCTAAAGCCAAAAACTTGAGAAAGAAGGAAATAACATATTTGGGATTTAATGGACAGAAAGCAAGAAAACAAACCCAAATTGGCATCAATTTGTAGAACTTTAAGGCGGAGTTAGGGCTCAGATTTTGCGGTGTTTCGAGATGGAGACTCAGATCTTCACAAAAATCTGTTATTTTTGGCCTTCATCGTTGTTTAACAAGGAGAGCTGGGAGGCAACACATAGAAATTGTCGAAGAAACGGGCATGAAGGCTGAAAATTGTCGTTAAACACAACACATAGAAGTTGTGTTTAACGGGTTATTTACCCTTGGTCACTTTTATAAAGTTAAATTAAAGGTGGCATATTTAGGGGATTTTGGCATTAATCCATATCAAGTGGGGGGTCACGACCCGAAATTTCCACCGTCGGGACCATGATGGCGCCTAACATTTCACTTGCTAGGCAAGCCAACGTTAGAAAATCATTAAACCAAATCCTTATTTTCATTCAGTAAATAACAATAATTAGCTAAGATAAAATATAATAAATGCAGAATAATATANGACCGTGATGACGCCTAACATTTCACTTGCTAGGCAAGCCAACGTTAGAAAATCATTAAACCAAATCCTTATTTTCATTCAGTAAATAACAATAATTAGCTAAGATAAAATATAATAAATGCAGAATAATATAAAAAAACTGTATTAATTATTACCACCCGGATCTGGAGTCACAATTCACGAGCATTCTACAATTTACTACAAGTAATAATCTGAAAGAAATACAACTGTTTGAATGAAAGAAACAATAAAACAGAAGGATAGACGGGGACTTCAAGGTCTGTGAACGCCGACAGATCTACCTTGAGTCTCCGGATAGCGAGTCCAATAGCAAAAATCTCGATCAACCCGAGCCGGTACCAAAATATGCACAGAAAGTGTAGAGTGCAGTGTCAGTACAACCGACCCCATGTACTGGTAAGTGTCGAGCCTAACCTCGAAGAAGTAGTGACGAGGCTAAGGCAAGGCACCTATAAATCAACATGTACAATTTAACAGTGTATATACAAATAACAGTAATGAAGAGCTAGACAAGAATTATCGGGAGGGGAAAACATGCTGGGGGGAAATACGAAATAAAGAGCTATAGCAGAATGAGAACTGGAACAACCAATATACTATGAGTTAACAGGAGCACGAATACAGTGAAGGAAAAATGCACGGCATCACCCTTCGTGCTTTTACCCCCAATATCACCATAAAATCAATAAAAACGGCACGGCATCACCATTCGTGCTTTAACTCTCATATCATGGCACGGCATCACCCTTCGTGCGGCATCACCCTTCGTGCACTAACACTCACAATATGGCACGACATCACCTTTCGTGCATTAACACTCTCCCTTACCATAATGCAATGCATGAATAACAACACGGGGATAGAATAATAAGTACAAGCCTTACTTCAACATTTGACTCCACAATATCAATCTCAACTTTTAAATAAATACTCAATTATCACCACAGAATACGTAAACATGATAAGAACGATCAATTTAACAATACTAGTCTAAACACGTAACCATTAGGCATAGGAAAGAGACAATATAAGAAAAACGGAAGAAAACAGGGAAAACATATAAATTGACGGCGCATAAGTACTTGTCACCTCATATATACGCCGCTCACATGAATTTCACATAGCAAATAATCTGAGGTTCCTAATTCCCTCAAGTCAGGGTTAGACATAATACTTACCTCGCTTCGAAAGCCACTTAATACTCAATCACAACTTTTCCTCTAGATTCACCTCCAAACCACTCGTATCTATTCAAAAACGACTCAATAATATCAAATATTGCTAAAGGAATTAATTATATTGCATACATTTAGATTTTCCAAATTTTTCTCCAAAAAGTTAAAAATCGACCCCAGGCCCGCATGGTCAAAACCCGAGGTTCAGACCAAAATCTATTTACCCATTTACCCCCGAGCCCGAATATATAATTGGTTTTGGAATCTGACCTCAAATTGAGGTCTAAATCCCCAAATTTTCAAAATCCCTAGTTTCTACCCAAATCCCTAATTCTACCATGAAAACTCTAGATTTTAGGTTGATAATTCATAAAATGCAATGGGTAATTGAAAGAAAATGGTTTAGAATCACTTACCAATACTTTGGGGAAGAAAACAACTCTTGAAAATTGCCTCTAGTCCGTTTGGTTTTTGAGAAAATAAAATAAATGGCCAATTCCCGTTTTTGGATTCTGTTAAGTGCTGGGCGATAGTGTTCATCGTGTTCACGAGAGCACTGTTGCGTTCGCGAAAAGTATAGGCTGCCAAGCCTTCGCGTTCGTGAGACCGTATTCGCGTTCGCGTAGGCTACCACCTGGCCTTCGCGTTCGCGAGACATTGCTCGTGTTCGCGATGAAGGAACGACCAACCCTCCCCAGGTCCCCAAGTTCTTCGCGTTCGCGATGAGCCGGTCACATTCGCGAAGGGTAAATCCCCCATCACTTCGCGTTCGTGACCAGGCCTTCGCGTTCGAGAAGAGATTTTCAGCCTCACCAGTTTACTCTTCGCGTTTGCGAGAGAACTTTCGCGAACGCGAAGAAGGACATGCCAAAACACCAGAATCTGCAGAAAAACCAAATTTTTTCAAAATCCAAAACATCCCGTGGCCTATCCGAAACTCATCCGAGCACTCGGGGCTCCAAACCAAACATGCACACAAGTCTAAAAATATCATACGAACTTGTTCGTGCGATCAAATCGCCAAAATAACACCTAGAACTATGAATTTAGTACCAAATCAAATGAAATTCTCAAGATTACTTTAAAAACTCCTATCTTCTCAACTGGACGTCCGAATCACGTCAAATCAACTCCGTTTCTCACTAAATTCACAAACAAGTCTTAAATATCATAATGAACCTGTACCGGACTCCAGAACCAAAATACGGATCCAGTACTAACAATGCCCAACATCAATCAATTCTTAAAAATAATTAATTTTCAAACTTTTAATTTTCATCAAAAAATCATAACTCGAGCTAGGGACCTCCGAATTCGATTCCGGGCATACGCCCAGGTCCCATAATTCGATACAGACCCACTGGGATCGTCAAAATATGGATCCGTGCCCGTTTACCAAAAATGTTGACCGAAGTCAACTAAAATTAACTTTTAAGGTAAAAATTCTTATTTTCATGAATTTTCAACATAAAAGCTTTCCGGAAACATGCCCGGACAGGGCACGTAAATCGAGGAGGGTAAAAATGAGATTTTTAAGGATTAAGAGCGTAGATTCGAGTTCTAAAACATAAGATGACCTTTTGAGTCATCACATTCTCCACCTCTAAAACAACCGTTAGTCCTCGAACGGACATAGAAAAGTACCTGAGCTAGTGAAAAGGTGGGGATATCTACTCCGCATATCAGACTCGGACTCCCAAGTGGCTGCCTCAACAGGCTGACCTCTCCACTGCACTCGAACTGAAGGGTAACTCTTTGATTTCAACTGGCGAACTTGCTGGGCTAGAATAGCCACCGACTCCTACTCGTAAGTCAAATCCTTGTCCAACTGGACATAGCTGAAATCTAACACATGGGATGGATCACCGTGATACTTTCGAAGCATGGACACATGGAATACCAGATGAACATCTGCTAAACTAGGTGGCAACGCAAGCCTGTAAGCTACCTCTCCCACTCTCTCCAGAATCTCAAAAGGTCCGATATACCTAGGGCTCAACTTGCCCTTCTTTCCAAACCTCATTACACCCTTCATGGGTGATACCCGACGCAACACTCTCTCCCCGACTATGAATGCAACATCACGAACTCTACGGTCGGCATAACTCTTCTGCCTGGACTGAGCTGTGCAAAGTCGATCCTGAATAATCTTAACCTTATCCAAGGCATCCTGTAGTAAGTCTGTGCCCAACAACCGAGCCTCCTCCAGCTCGAACCACCCAACTGGCGACCGGTACCGCCTACCATATAATGCCACATAGGGAGCCATCTGAATCCTCGACTGGTAGTTGTTGTTGTAGGCGAACTCTGCAAGGGGCAAGAAATGAACCAGAAGTATGAGGTGAACTGTGTACCTCGATCAAAAATGATAGACACGGGCACACCGTGAAGACGGACGATCTCACGAATGTAAATCTCTGCCAACCGCTCTGAAGAATAGGTAACTGCTACAGGAATAAAGTGCGTTGACTTGGTCAGCCTGTCCATAATGACCCAAACTCCATCAAACTTCCTCTGAGTCCGTGGGAGTTCAATAACAAAATCTATAGTGATACACTCCCACTTCCACTCAGGAATCTCTATCTTCTGAAGCAAACCACCAGGTCTCTGATGCTCAAACTTTACCTGCTGGCAATTTAGACATCGAGCTACATATGCAACTATGTCTTTATTCATCCTCCTCCACCAATAATGCTGCCGCAAGTCCTGATATATCTTGACAGCGCCTAGATGAATAGAATATCGGAAACTGTGGGCCTCCTCAAGAATCAACTCACGAAATCCATCCACATTAGGCACACAAATACGACCCTGCATCCTCAAAATTCCGTCATCTCCAACAATAACCTGCTTGGCACCACCGTGCCACACCGTGTCTCTAAGGATAAGTAAATAAGGATCGTCATCCTACCGATCTCTGATGCGCTCAAACAAGGAAGACCGAGGAACTGTACAAGCTAGAACACGGATGGGCTCAGAAACATCCAAACTCACAAATTGGTTGGCCAGGGCCTGAACATCCAATGCAAGCGGTCTCTCACCAACTGGAATATAAACAAGGCTACCCATACTAGCTGACTTTCTACTCAAAGCATCGGTCACCATATTGGCCTTACCGGGATGATACAATATGGTGATATCATAGTCTTTCAATAGCTCTAACCACCTCCCCTGCCTCAAATTGAGTTCCTTCTGCTTGAACAAATACTGCAAGCTCCGATGATCCGTAAATACCTCACATGGCACACCGTAAAGATAGTGCCTCCAAATCTTCAGTGCGTGAACAATGGCTGCCAGCTCTAGATCATGAACAGGGTAATTCTTCTCGTGAACCTTCAGCTGCCGCGAAGCATATGCAATAACCTTGCCACCCTGCATCAATACCGCACTAAGTCCAACTCGGGATGCATCACCATATACCATATACGATCCTGAACCTGTGGGTAACACCAATACTGGCGTTGTAGTCAAAACTGTCTTGAGCTTCTGAAAGCTGGCCTTAAACTCGTCTGAACACCTGAACGGGGCACCCTTCTGGGTCAACCTGGTCAATGGGAC